AATAAATGCATAAAATACGAACACAAATTTTTCCTTTTAAATTAGTTTGTTATTTATACGACATTATGCCCTCTAGGTAAAGTTAAACATTAACTTTTAGGATACTTTGAAAATTGGCTGCCACATTAGACAAAGCTATTGCTTGAAAATTCTAGTAACATGCAACAGATCATCTATTTTAAGGTGGAACATGGTCCAGACTTTTACAAGAGTCTTTGTAATGAAAGACATTTGTTTTGAAAACTTAATTTAGAGAGTGTGCAGAAAGTTATTCACCCAAGCTAAATCATACTAGAATTTCTGTCATTATTTCAGTGGTGACTAGTATAGGCTCTTGGACATAAAAGACATTCAAACACGGTTAAATTGACTAATTGCATGTTTAAATTCGTGTGAACCTGCAAAATCAGAACTTTAAAGACTGTCATAGCATGATTTTGAGATTGCTGTGTAGTCGTCTACATGATTTGAAATTGCTGTGGTCTTAGAAACAACAAAGAAATTAGCATAAACTGTTGCTGCCACTGCTGTTTTAGTTTTTGAATAATCTCTTTAAAATCAAGCCAAAGAATGCGGAAAAGAATTTGCTGATAAACATGTATGCAAATTTGCAAAGAAAGGCAATAACCTGTAACCTTGGCTTAGTAAATGGCATCTTCCAAAATTTTGTTGATTGTACAATTGGAATTGAAGTCAACGAGCTCAATACTGAATCCCAACTTCATCATTTGAACTTACTTAACCCATCGAAACCTAAATTTATTCATCTGCAAAATGGGAGAAGCACTGTTTAGATATCATGAATCTGTTGTATTGTAAGCAAGAAAATTTATGTGAAGTGATTAGAACAGTGTCTGGAATAGAACAAAGATTAATAAATGTTCTGTTTATTGAACATTAGTAGTAATAATATCATCATTTTCATCTTTATACTAGCACTGTATATAAGACTTCCACTAAAATAAAAGTATCACGTGCCCAAGAAAAACATCCAATGATATGCTCCCGTACAGGCTTCTGGCCTCTGATTCTGTGACACAGATCTCTGCAAATATTCTGTGGGTTCAAAGTGACTGAATGAGACTTGTAGAAGGCTTCGCTATAAATACGGTATCACTATATGCTTGATACCAACATGGAGGCCTGGCTTCATTTTCTCTTAGTGTGTACTGACTTATGACCACAAGGACTGCTTGTACGATAATCAGCAACATAATATCGATCATAACCTCTGCAATCATGTAAATGGGTGCTTCACAAAAATCCCGCATAGTAGCCATTGCTATTCCATTTTCACAGTCGAGAAAATCAAGATTAGAGTGGGCAAGTGATTTGTCTAAGGTTACATATGAAATACAGATTTTTACAATAATATTGTGGCTTCGCATATACAGAAATATTCTGTGGTTGAGGTAAGAGTGAGGGTTAGCAGATACTTTTTCACTCTCTTGATTGACAGTGTTTATTCTCTTAAGCTGGAGACCCAGAGAATGTGGCTACTTTGAAATAACAACTACAAGAAAATTGAAGAACTAAATAATGTAATTATCCCTGATTTGAAGCTGAGTGATTAAACCCACATGAAAGATGCTAAAGGTGTAATTTTAAATACCCTCAACACATAAAATTCTAAATACACTATTTGTTTTTCATATGAAAAGGTCACCATTCTTTGCAAACAGTAGATAGCATATAATAAGGTAAGGTAAAGAAGTAGATCATCAGTGCTCAACAGACAGTGGATTTTAAGAGTAAGTGGGCAGGCCTTTGCTCACCCTCCTCTCCAGCAGAGCTCCTTTTAACTTCAGCATTATGCTTTTTAGTATTTTTCCACTGAGATAAGTAAATTAGAATTATCTGGAGTCTGTTGAGAATAATGGCAAAAAACAGACGACCCAACAGGTCTGGTCCATCAATGTCTGGATGACCTAATTACTTTCTGGAATGACAAGGGGTAGGTGAGGCAGGAACAACGCACATCAGATTCGAATGTTAATGCCAACCACTATACTTTTAAAATTTTTTCTAGAACAAGATGACGGCAGCCTGTCAAATAGCACTGAGTGATACAACACAATTTTATTTTATAATAATGTGATGGACACGCTGACAATGAAAACTTTGTAGTCATATTTAATTTTGTTACTAGCCTACATTTAGGAATACTTTGGGAAGCAAGTATGCCTCCTAGATGGTAATAGTTAAACATTAAATGGGCCTATTTTCACACCATAAGAAAACACTATCAAAAATCTCAGTCATGGCATTTTTGCAAAATGTCACACTGCAATTTATCTTCTATTTGTAAATAGACACTGATAGGTTCTCAGCCAGGTCCTATAATAATGATTTGGCATTGAGTTTATAAGTAGTTTAGGTTCTTAGGAAAAAAACAAATAAATACAATTGTGGCATCAGGAATTTAATTTTCATCGTCCATAAGAGCTTTTTACACTTTAGGAATAATACGTGACACATGGGAGCATGGATGTTGGCCCAAGAAGCAACCACTCTTTTGTGGCAGCATATCCTTGGTTTTATTTAGGGAACTATCTCTCCTCCATTTCAGTGGCTCATGTGGGGTTAATTTTATTTTTAGGCCCCAGGCTGACTATGATCTGCCTAGGAGAGTCATAGTGATTAATTGGTTCAGGGAATGGTATGTGATGTGCTCTAATCACAAAACCCAGAAAAGCTCTCTTCTCACCGAAGTTGCTATGCTGGTGGAATAAGTCTGGAGTTGCCACTAGTTATCTGAGAATGATGCCCACACAAGAAAGAAGAGCCACATGATAGAGAGAGAGAGTCTGGGAACAAAGTTTGAGCAACTGAATCAAGCAGTTCTTGACATCCAGAATATCCCTGGACTCTCAGTGATATGAGCAGATTAACCCACCTACCCCAACACACAGACACACACACACACACACACACACACACACACACACAATTTTTTGGCAGAATCTAATTTCAGTTAGATTTCTATCGCTTGAAAACAAAAGAGGCCCAATTAATAAACAATGTAGGCATTATGAAAATGCCACAAACATTGTAGAGGTTCAAGTTAACATTTGTTAACCCTTCCATCTTCAAAAAGCTTTTGCTTTGAGGAGTGTTATCATACATACAGACTGTGGAGACAGACGACTCCAGAGTCCAGCGTGTTTGGATACCAGTAGGAGCGCCTCCCGGGGTCATATTTTCCATGATCCAATCAATCCCTAGTGAAATCCCAGAATATTAAGGTATTGACACAACTTTGGGACATGCTCTGCGTGAGCTGTCTCCTCCCTCTAAAGGCACTCTAAATACTAGAAATTAGTTTCAGGCCTCTGAACCCCAGGTAGAAGATCAAAGAAAAGTCTGCAGCAAAGTAGAGAAATAAAAATATATATGTTGAAATGCAAATGATCAGGGCTTTTTGTTTTTGTTTTTTACTGCATAATTCTAGATCATTAATATCAGCATCCACTGTGAGTTTTCAAGAGGGCTACGATAAATGATATTTGGTCATGGGGCTTTTTTCTTTAATCTTAGGGTTCTATGAAATGCGTTTTGGGAAATGCCACACTTTAATATATATATTTTGTGATTTCTAGGGATAAAAGCCTGAGTGGTTTTGGTTGTTACTCATCATTTAACAGTGGCAAAGGGAAAGGCAGAGTTATGTAGTTCAAGGAGTACAGAATTTGGAGCTGTCAAGACGTAGATTGAATTTAGCTCTATTGTTAGCTCTCTATGATCACAGGCAATCATGCCACCTCTCTAAGTCATAGGTGCAAAATGAGAAAATACTATCTATTTCATTGAGTTGTTTTGAAGCTTAAAGCAGACAGAACATATTCTAGTATGCATCACTTCAACCCTAAGTTGGACAAATGTATGCTTGAATCCCACTCAATCACTTGTTAGCCATGTGACCATGACAAACTATTTACCCTACTTAAGTCTTTCATCTACCTGTGTAAAATGGGGTAGTACGTTGATTATCTCATAGGAGCTATTAAATAAGGATTAAGCTTTAAAAAGCGTACACAGTAGTTATTACAGTTCTGGCATTTGAACTGCAAAACCAATTGTTCTTGTAAGTTGAACAATGCCAAATTACCCTTTACAGGTTAAAACATTATTGAATAGCAGCAATTCATACAGTTCATCATCATAGTATGTGAAATGTCTATTTCAGTGTCTGGCAACAATTCATCATTTGTTTATCTGGTCAACCAATCAATATGTACTTAGTGCTTTTCTTGTACAGGTAGCATGCCAGACCAGGAATAGAAAGGTGACTAAGACACAATCTGTGTCCTCAGTAAATATAGAGTAGACTGAAGAGGCAGGCAATCATAACTAACTTTTTTACTTACTCCTTATTTGGACACATAAACTGTATACTCATGATCATGAAATAAGGTAATAGAGAGCAATGAGAGAAGCACATACAATTTGGCATGGGAGCATCAAGAAGATAATTCAAGGTGTGCCCAATACATGGTGGCTACTATCATCAATGTACAAGGTTAGCACATAGTTGGACTCAATACATGCTTTACCAGTTAATTAATGAACAATTAATAAGTTTCTATTAATTACTCTAAGTTGTTTATTGAAAAAAGATATAAGGTATAGCCAACCATAAACACATAAGTTTGCTCAAGTTAGCATACCCCACTAAATACAGAATTCCAAATCTGTTATACAGGTTCAGCATCCCTAATCAGAATATCCAAAATCTTTCAGATTGTTCCAAAATCCAAAACCTTTTGATCACCATATGATGCTACAAGTGAAAAATTCCACAATTGACCTCACGCAATGGGTGACAGTCAAAACTTAGTCTCATGCACAAAATTATAAAATATTGTATAGAATTACCATTAGGTTAGGTGTATTTTGTGTTTATGAAACATAAATGACTTTCATGTTTAGACTTGGGTCTCATTTCCAAGATATCTCATTATGTACATGCAAATATTCCAATCTGAAAAAAAATCTGAAATCTGAAACACTCTGGTCCCAAGCAATTTGGATAAGGGATACTCAAAATATGTAACAATCATCTCTACTAAAAGAATAGCTGATTTAAAAGTGCAATGAATTTGAATCATATATGAGGACCAGCTATTGCCATGTTTCCCTCCGTACCATATTGGTACAATGAAGATAAAATATCATACAACAGATATCTGTCCCCAACAAGTGGTCCTGCATTCCAAGGCATCTTTTGTATTCTGAATGTCGGCACTGGTAAACTCATTCCCTATACTTTCCACTTTGATAGATTATACTGGCATATCCTAGGAAAATCTCACATCCCTTTTAGCTGAACGCTCCCACCAGCATACCACAGGTATTTCAGGTTAGAAAATTAGTGGGTATGGGGACAAGTAATTATAGAAGGAAAAAACCATAATCAGATCCTGGTGTGCAGATTGTTTTTTTTTTTTAGCTTGCAAATTCCCTGTTTCTGGTGTTTCAACTTTCAAAGGTTTATGGTAGTTTAGAGGCAATCCTCTTATAAGTGTACAAACTGTAATGATTATAGGAACAAGTTGTAATTGTTTCTAGCAAGTTTTTAAGAGTCTTTGATGTTATGATTAGTGTTTTATATGTTAATATATTGATAGGGGTGCTTATTTGCTTGTTCCCTTGTATGCTTTTATGGTTTCTAGGTTCAATGTGCAAATACATCTTTGATCTCGGCAGGTCTATTTGGTTTAAAAAGAAAGCCAAGGGAAATTAAACATGAGAAGCACAAAGTTTTGCAATATTTATGAAGAAGCGAGATTAGGGATTTCACTGTAAGAGTACAGAGCTAGGACCAAGACTCGAACGTGGAGAAAAGTGCCCCAAAACTACACCACACGTGAGGAGGGTCCTGTGCTATGGACAGCCAGCCCCACGACGTGCCATCATGGAGCTGCGGCTCCTTTGTAGCCAGGGCGCAGCTACATGACGCAGTCTGGGTTGATGTCACACTGAGCAAATCAAAGGCAATGCCCTGCAAGTCATCAGCTTCCGCTTTAGAGTTTGCCTCCTGCCCTTCAGAAATCACCAGGGGGAAGATTTCTGTCTTTGCAAAGGTTTCATTTCCAGCTATCTTCTCATCACACATGACTTCCAGAAACTGGCTGGAATGTAGCGCCTCTTGGACCATGCACCTTGACACAAATTGCTAAACTTTAGAAGGATTTCACTTTTTGATAATGTCTAAAAGGAGAATTTGGAGTTTCGTCAAACCTGGCTATCAACGATACTAACAGCAAGAGAAAGATATTAGTTAAGCCACTCAAATACAGAGTTAGGTAAATGTATAAGGCACTAAGTAATTAATAGTATGACACTTTTTGTTTTATGTTGCACAGAAAAACAAAAAAGGTGGCTTTACTGAAAATACACATTAGAGGAACTCAAATGGGAAAACAGGACGAGAGAGGATCAAATTATACTTTGTACTTCTGTTCCAGCTCTTCAGGTGCTGTTTTGCAATGCTCAGGTTTTAATACTTCCAAAGAGAGGGGGAAACAATCTTGCATTTACCTTTGCTGTACACAATGCAGTTGTTTTTGTTGTCTTCCACTCCTTGCCAAGTCACATCCAGCAACCACTTGGGACCAGCAGTCAGCACCATTGGGACCTGAGCCTTTGTCTTCTGTAGAAAGAATGATAACAAACAGATGCCATTTGCTTCCGTTGATTAAAAACTTGAATAATAACTGTACTAATCATTTTATTTTTACAAACAACTAAATCTCCCAAACCATAATCCAAGTCCTTATTCCCCTGTCTCATGATATCTTTTTAAGACGACAGAAGCTGTAAAGCTTTACTGCTTTCACTAATCTGAATGGTAGAAATATTATCAAGGATTTTTTTTTTTTTTTTTCCTAAATGATACTGAATCAGATCTCCAAGATTAGACAGATCTCTTGTGGCTCTGAATTATAAAGAGAATGCAGATGACTTTCATTGCAAAGAGCAGAGTGTTTAGAAGTGAACTTTAGACACATTGTACTTTACTATCAACAGGATCTCACTATTTCCTGAAACAGACAGGAAAGAATTTAAAGAATCAGGATCCATTTCAAAGCTCTGTCCTGAGCAACATTTATATTAGAGTAAGAACTTACTCTGAATGAATAATGACATCTACCCAACCCCCTAAGTGTGGATATGTAGTCTCACTGTAACTGAAATAATAATAATGCTAATGATGCACCACCATACATTGTCTCCAGAAAGACTGTAAAAGAGGAATCGTGAATAAATTCAAATGCAGAGCAACTAAAGCATGACATCCCTTGCTCTGAGAACCACAGAAGCACAGAGACAAGTGCTATAATTCTAACAAAGTATTTTCAGTGTACATGTTAAATAGAAGGCTCAAAATAGTCACAATTTTTGGCTGTTTGGCATCCAAATTATTTATCTGTAAACCTCCGTGGATAAATTTACATGGCTGGAAATAAACTGGGGAGGAAATAAGTATGTCTCAGCAAGACTGTGTTTCCCGATGAGTCACGGTGAACCGGCATTCACTTTTATCATTCTCCAGTCCATGTTCTGTATGTCAAACACCATGAAACCACAACTCAGAGTACAATACAAGGGTCTCAAGGTAATTTTTGAACTGAATTTTCACCTAGCTATGATCCTGCCAAAGAGATCTCAGTCCATTCTGGGATTTTTCCACATGATACATACTATCACAAATTTCCCAAATTGGTCTTAACAAGTATTCACTTGAGGAGTTCCACGTAATCTGGTGATTTCAAATCTTTCAGGAATCTGGAAAACCCATTTCACCTGCCTCATGACAACAATGATAGCACAAAAAACACTGATCCATTGTTAATTGCAAAGCCATACTGAAAACTATGCATAAAATGAATGCTGACCCATTTCTTAAAATATCAATTATATTATAAATGTAAAAACTACCATAAAATATAGCATTTAATGGAAAAATCAAACATGATGGATTTAAAAAGAAGTCTGAAAAAAACTACTTCAAATATTAAAACAAAGAGTATAAACTATAACTAAATCAAGTATAATAAATTCTAGTACCTTGATCTTTATATTTTGATTCATTGTAGAGTCTTAATTTTTCAAATATGTATCTTAATAGTTGGCAAAGATAACCACAAAGAAGTTCTCTAAAAGCCTTGTGAAAAAGATGTAATTTTATATTCTATGTATATTTTAACTATATAGACAAAAATGTTATCAAGTTATCCCTATTGCTATCAGTCTGAGAAACCATTATTTTGTATTTCGATTTTCAAAATAGGATTAGAGGAGAAACAAACTTGTTCTATACGAAATGATAGTGATCCAAATCCAATTAAATATTAGGTCTTAATGACACATATTTTGCTCTTCTTTTACTATCAGACTGACAGATAAATCCACAGATCAGGATCTGGTGGTCGGGCGTGGTGGCTCACTCCTATAAACCCAGCACTTTGGGAGGCCGAAGTGGATGAATCACTTGAGGCCAGGAGTTTGAAAGCAGACTGGCCACCATGGTGAAATCCGGTCTCTACTAAAAATACACAAATTAGCCAGGTGTGATGGTGCATGCCCGTAATCCCAGCTACTTGGGATGCTGAGGCGGGAGAATTGCTTGAACCCAGGAGGTGGAGGTTGCAGTGAGCCAAGATCATGCTACTGTACTCCAGCCTGGGTGATAGGGCTAGACTCTTGTCTCAAACAAAACAAAACAAAAATAAACAAAACTAAACTAAACCCCAAAGGATCTGCAGTTCTCCAGGCCCACGCAGAACAAGTTAGAGGAGGGAGTCCACCATTTCAGGAAGCCTATGCAGGGGCACTCAGTGACTTATTTGTAACATCACTCTTTCCCAATTTTAAATAATAGATTTCAAACAGGCACCTGGCCTATTTTTCCCAGATTATCTTATTTCATGAAAAATAATTATTTTAAATTATTTAATCACCTTGTTTCATAGTTCTTAGAATCCTATGAATTTTGACACAGTAAATTAGCTTTTATAATAATTTCATAGATACTATAAAAAATAGTGATCACTTACATTCTTTAGAGAATCTTTTAGTATAAAGTAAATCAACTGATTTTCCAAAACCATAATCTTCCATTCATTTCACAAATAAGCAAACTCAATCCTGTGCCTTGTGCTAGGAATGTAAGTAAGTCTTTTTTGGTGAAGGATACAGATACATTAAAAATGTTTAAAGTAATGTGAAAAGTACCATGGTAGGAAGTGCTAAGACATGTGTCAATTGTTTTGGGGTCAATGAAGGAAAGAGAAAAACTCCCATCCTTTGGAGTCTGGGGACACATCATAGAAGAGGCAACATTCAGGCAGGATTTTAAAGGATAAACAGGAAGAATGTGCAGCTGCTGGAAACACTGTGGGCAAAGGCTGAACAGTCTATAAGAAAGTCAAGTGTGCAGGAAATGGGAGTTCTGGGACTCTGGTTAAAGTTCTTATGAAGTCTTTAGCACTCTTTTTGTTACGTAGAAAGCACTAGAAAAGTATTATCTATCATAATCATCATTAATATTATTGTTATTGATAAATGGAAAGAACATAATAGCATATGTATCTGGCAGGGCAGGTTATAAACAGATTTTAAAAGACCTTGATGCATTAGGCAAAACTTTGGTAAACTTTACTTTGTGCTTAATTCTGTAAGCAGAAGGAAGCCAATAAAGATTTTTTAGGGAGATGGAATAAGAGTACTACTGTTTAGGCTACTTGTGCAAGGATTTTGTTAGGCATTTCCCTTACTTACCTAGCCCTCATGTATATTTTTAGATAAGAAAATTGCAACTGAAAAATTAAATAATATCCTTTAGGTCAAATTGTTGGTAGGTGGCAGAGGGCAGAGCCAATATTTATATTTACCTTTGTTTCCAAATATTACCACCCCTAGTGGTTTTTCTGGAACTGAAAGGTTTTCCAGGAAGCTGTATTTTCAATGCCTTGGGCAATTTAGGATGAGTTTTTCACCTCCCCCACCACCACCACTACTACTACTACTAAAACAATATTAGTGGTTTACGTGTTGGCTATTGAGGTAAACATTTCACTTGAATGGTCTTTTTTGATTTTTACAACTCCAGAAGTTAGGTACTAACATTTTCTCCATTTTCTACATAAGCAAATTAAGGATTAGAGGAGCTGATATTGTGAGTAAAATATAAAAGTAATCAATTAATATATTTCCTAATGGTAAGTTAGGCATTATATCTTTTAAAACTCTGGCAAACGTTTATTTTGCCTGGGTACAAGTAGCATTGGATTTATTAAAAAATTGATAAAATAATTTATTTTAGACCAAATCAATAAAGCAGAAGAAAAAAATGGAGCAAAGGCTTGCTGAAAGTTGTACCCAAGCTGTAAATAATAAGTAGATAAAAAATCTCAAGGGACCAGTTATTACAGTTTTGAGGAGGTAAGTCAATTTCTTTCTGAAGAAGTCAACTTTTGCAGAGATTGACTGACTTCAAAGAAGATTACCAAGTGTGAGAAGGAAGGAGTTAGCCAGGATTATATGAAATCTACACTCCAGAAAAATCCATGAATAGAAAATAACAATAATATCCACATTGATCATTAGGTTCACTTCCTGTGTCTCCAACATAAGAATTCATAAAATTCTAGAACACTAAGAGCTAGAAGCTACTTTAAAGTTCACTGAGTTTAATTCTCAGATATCACAAACAAGGAAAGTCAGGCCAAAATTTTTATCTCATACTCTACAATGGGTACAACTGGCACAACATTTTGGGAAAAGAGAACAGACATAAAAGGTGTGGTAGACAGGAAAATGGCCTACCAAAGATGGCTATGCCCTAATCCCCTGGAACCTGCGAATATGCTACCTTACTTGGCAAAAGGGATTTCAGAGAGGTGATTAAGTTTTTGTACCGTGAGATGGTGAGATTATCCTAGATTATCCAGATGGGCCCGGTCTAATCACATAAATCCTTACAAGTAGAAGTGAAAGGCAAGAGTAAATCCAAGAGATTCAACACGAAAAAAATGCCGCCTGCTTTTGCTACCTTTAAAGATGGGGGACTGAGAGCAGAAACTAAAGAATGTAGTGGTGTCTAAAAACTGGGAATGACCTCCAGTTTACAGGAAGCAAGAAACAAGAACTTCAGCTCTACAACATCAAGGTACCAAATGTTGCCGACAATCTGAATGAATGAGCACGAAATGGATTCTCTCCTAGAACCTCCAGAAAGGAATGCATGAGGAAGGCTGACACCTTGATTTTAGTCTGGTGAAGTCTGTACTCATATTTCTGATCTACAGAATATGAGATAATAAATATCTGTTGTTTGAAGCCCCCAGGTCTATGGTAGTGTGTTTCAGCAGCAATAGAAAGCTAACACAAAAGATATCCAGATTTATTAATTACAGTTAAAACAAAAATAACTAATTTTCTTATCAAATGTGCTCAAAAGTGTGAAATAGCTTCCCCTTAGTCGAAATAACACCAAATATACCTTGTTATTCCATAATCATTGATCATTTATTTATAAGTCATTATGAAGCAGGATATTTCCCTGACCCCTTCACGGGACTTGTGACAGCGGTGCCTCATTTACTCAGCCTGATGCTCTCAACTCCTCGCGGGAGAGAGCACAGGAGC